ATCCGCCCCTGCTCCCCCCCCGCCCCCGCACCTTGCCCGTCCTCGAAAGCTTTCCCCCTCCCCGCGCGAACGCCGCCTGGAATGCTGCAAACCGGGTAGGGGGAGATGCTGGGGGACGGAGACCGTAGTGAGTTTTTATCGCTTTTTATCGCTGTTTATCAATGGGAAACCAGTGGAAAACTAGCGCAGAGATTATCAAGACAAAGTGTCAGGTAGCGCTGTACAAGAAAATAGGCTTTTTTGCCTATTCGCTGGAGGATTTTCCCGTTCCCTGCAGACTATGTGCAATTTTGTTAATCGGTATTAAACCGATGATGACGATAATACCTGAAAAATCTGCTTATTGTTGCAGATAGGCCAGAAAGCTAGGGGAGAGCTTTTACGTAATTAATTGCTTGAGTTGTTTCAGAAACACTGCTTCTAACTTTAGCAGGCTTGCGGACAGAAGCAGCCGTTAGATAAAGCCTGCCCCTTCCTTGTTCGTTCTTTACTCTCAGCTCCGTATTTGTGTTGTGGAGGTGGGGGGGCAGTGTTGTTTGTTTTAAATCTAGATTAATGCCGTGGTTTTAATACAAACATGAACCTGTCTTCAGAAGTTGACATCACTGAGGAATCAGCCAATTGGTTGACGTTTAACCAACCTTCTTTTTACACATAAACCCCATCAAAGAATTGTTTACACTAATGTTCTTTTGAAATGCAAATCCAGAATGCCAACAGACTGAAACTCAATTTAGATTAATGTAATTACCTGCAATACGCAAATGAGGCTATACTATTTAATAGCCTTCACTTAAACCTTTTTAGAAGATCAGAAAGACTCCTATTGTTGAAGTTTAGTACTACAACAATTAAAAGATGCCTCTGTGTAATTTTCGTGTTACCTTTATCACTTTGCAGAAGCTTGTGTTTTTGCTTTGGTACTCTGAAATAAAAATATCTGAAATAATTACAATTCACATCGAAAAAGAATAACAACTTTGTGACGTATTAGGTCCACATCTCATAGGGAGTTTTTTTGCTGCTTTCTTCTTAGCACTTCAGAAGAATAATTGTCTGTCCTCTTGTTTTAGGCTTTAAAGAAATCAATGCTCCAACTATTACCCCACCGCTCAGTCAGCCTAAAAGATCAAAAAAACGCCATGCAAATTTAACATTGGATAAAATGATGGAAAAATTCCTGCAGCAGAGCGTGGATACGGAAGAGAAATTTTACAGATACGAAGAGCAGAGGCTCAAAATTGAGGACAAGCGTCGGGAAGCTGAGCATGCTCGAGAGCTCCAGATGTTACAGATGTTGGGACAGATGTTGGCAGGAATTTCTTCTACGGTATCACAAAGGTCACAGTCTATACCAGCGAGTCCACCTCAGAGAGCGAACCATCGTTCATATGGGGATAACTTTAATTATAATGCTATGACAGCAGCACTTTCTCCACCGATAGGTACTTCCTTCTATAGCATAAACAAAAGCTCATTTTTTTTAAACTTCTATGTGAAAGCACTGGTAGTAAGTAGCTTTTGAAATAAAAGCTAGTTGGAATTATTTAATATTGTGGTGAAGGTGTCTGTCTGATGTAAAATGAAATTAAAACATCATTCGTACCATTGTACTGATTATTTAATAGAGATACATTAGATATAACAAATCTTAATGAGCGAAATCACACTTTTCGAACCCTATAAACATTGGTGACTTCTTTCCACGTTCATGTCTCTGTAAAGTGAAGTTAGGAGAAGTTTTATATGCGAAAGGCAAGTAGCGCATTTGCTGAAAGCTGAATGGAAACACTAGGTACCTTGTAGCGGAAATTCTGCTGCTATTGAAGTTAACAGGCCTAACCCAGTATGTGGAGTTAAGGCTGTGCATATGTTTTTTCAGGGTTGGGAAAAGAGTGGAGTTTTGCCTACGCTGAAGTAAATCAAATGTTAAAATCCAGCTTCTTTAAAATGAATTTCTTTGAATCAAAATTCTGAATTTTATCTTTTAATTAAACATCATATTACTGTAGTAGGCGTAATAGAAGATGAAAATATTGTCATATATTTTTATTCTACACCAGTTCATTTATAAATTCTTTGGGGGTCTGAATTTATTTTAAAGAAAAAGGCAAAGCAATAACTCTAGAATTGGTATTTATGCACAGACTTTTCCTTCCGTACCTTATGTGTGGGCCAGAAGCTGATAATCGGATATTAGCATTCGTTAACAGACTTCTCGGGATCTGTGGCTCCGTGTCATTTATCTTTATCATAGTCTCTTTGTATGTGGAGGTAGATTGCGTGGGCAGGAGGAAAACAGGGATACTCTTGTCAGTGCTGACACCAGAGTCAGCTCGGGGCTTGGTGGTTGCAGCCTGCCCCATGGAAACGACACAAGTCTCCTTCTGTTTTAATTCTGAATTTCACACTGCTCAGAAGGAAAAATTGTGGTTTGAAAAGAAAAAAAACCACCTAACCTCAGTGTTGAATAATAATCCGGCATGCCAGATCCTAAAGGGCATTCTCATGAGAGAATCTTGGAGCCTTTTCAGTTCTATGTTACGTACTGCGTTTCCCTGTAGAATGCATGGGGGACTGGATGGTTAGGCCTATTGAGGGTTTAGGCTGGCTGACTTGGTTGTGTTTCTTCTTGGCTGGATAGTTAGTCTGTAGCATTCCTTGATGGCAGCAGACTTTCGTAGACAAATTACGGCATATGTATGGATTCTGTGTTTTAAATGTTGTTTTCACACCTAAAGCACTTTAGGAAATTATTTGAGGTTCTGGACTGGGGTGATGGTACCCACAAGGCCTTGCCATTACTTTTGAAAGGTTTTTCACTGAAAGAGTTTCATTACCTGTAAAGACTTGAAACGAAAGTTCAGGTTTCTTGCTGGATTTCGTCATAGAGGTGTACAATCATATTACACTGTGCAAAAATGCGTTACATATATATTTAACTGTAGCAAGAGCAACTCGGGATTCTAATCTTTTAATTGGTGAAGGTGTACCAAAGCATTTATAATACAATGTGAAAATAACGCTTCAGGCAGCACATCTTTTAAGGAATTAAGATTTCAGTTGTTTATAGCTAAATACGCCTTAGTGTTTCTGTAGGTAAGTGGGGCTCTATTAAGAATTGCTTTTTGCATAATTCTCTGTTTTTTCCCCATTTATTATGCAATCATTTTATATTTACGTGTAAAGAAAAACCAGCAACAAAGAAACAGATGACCTTCTTAACAACGTTGCACTTTAAGGGTTACAAGCTATATGATAAGTATATTTCTTGTGTGGTTGAAAACCAGTGAGTGTATGAAGTGCGATTTAAAGAAAATAATCTGCCCTGTTTCCAGAGGAGATGAGTGTTTTGTTCTTCTCTGGGTCACTGCAATGCTATTTTGGCCATAATCCAGAACAGGGTGTTTTTTTCTTTTTCTTTTCCTTTTTTTAATTAATCTCAATAGGAATGGGATGCCTGTATTATAGAAGGATTTTAAAAGCAAAAGATCAGCCAGGAGTATTTGTCATTATTGAACGCTAAAGCATTTTATTACTGAAGATTAGCGCGTCTGGTTTAGGTTTAGATTCTGTGCAAGACGGAGAAAAAGATGCTTTCTGCTGATAGCGCACAGATGCGGAGTTTTCTTGTTTATTACATTTTTTTTTTCCCCATTATTAAGTCCAAAATTTCTGGATCAGTTTTTCGTCTTTTTTTTTTCCCTTCCCTTCTCTAGATTTTGGAGTTGGGGGGTGGAATTGCTAAGTTTTATACAGCTGAAAATCAGGAGTATCGTGGGAGTTATTTTTTGCATAATTATGTATTACTATATAGCAATTCCTTGAAAGCTTTTTTACGAGATCTGTAAAAAAGAACGTAAGCATAGCTACGGTCTAGGAGGCTTAATATTAACGTTCAAATAAACCACTCTTCTGAACAGAATTGTACAGTTAATGAGGAGCTTTGTCGAAATACAAGAACGTACTCTTTTAGTGTATTTACTGCAATTTATAGTTAACACATAGTTGATAGAAGTACTGATCTTCAAATTTGTCCCATGTTAGGTAAACGGTTTAATTCTCTTCAGTTGTAATTGTTGAAATACTTTTTTCTTCTAAATTTCTGTAGTCTTTTGAAACAGTAATTTGAATATGTAGCCTTCTGAGTGTGCAGTTGTTTTAATATGTAGCCTGACATGTAGCTTTGCATCAGACATCTGTAGTTGTATTATAGCTGAAAATTATCTTTGTGTGATATTTGTAATGTTTGCATCTAGTGCGTTGGCTTATAGTTTTGCAGAAAGACTTTCATTATGCTTTGTAACCACCTGCCAAAAAAAAAAAGCAGTGAGGTAGGCTCTGATTCTGCTAAGAGGTGGAAGTCTTTAAGGGGAAGCGAAAAATAAGGTAGGGTGTACGTTTAAAATGTGGTTTTAGTTGCTCTGATTGCTCTGTGTCGGGATGTGTTTAGTCCTTACTAAGTGTACCTATTTCAGTTGAGCTTAATTATGAAAGTAATTTCAGGCTGAACTAAGAAGATATTTCTAGTCACAAAATGTTCATAGAACTATTCTGGGCTGTTGTTTCTTTCTGTACCTGAGCCCTAAATTAGGACTGTGAGCAGTCAGTGGGAATATTCTCTGCATCAGACCCTAAATTCATTTTTAAAATGGTCACCTTCCCTGGTTACTCACCATTTTAAAGGCCTTTAAGTGACGAAGCATTTGGTTTTTAGAAGTATGTCACTTTGTATATCTTTGAGTGATTTTATTAGTGTTTATGAGTGCTTAAAAGAAATGCTGATAGTAGTTCAAGAAAGAACATACTTTAAAGTAACACTTATTTTCTTCTTTTCAGTTATAGAGAGATCTTTCTCACTGCACAGAACACACTCTCTAAAGGATATGGAGAATATTTTTCAACTGGTGCGCAATGTTATCCCTCCTCTAACAGGGAAAAGGCATAAAGGTCAAGATGGACGTATAGGCATTGTTGGAGGATGTCAAGAGTAAGTTAAACAGAAATTTGATTTTTGTTTCTGAGGGAGTTTGAGGATGTCATAAGTACTTGTAGAAGCCATTCAAACTCACCTTACATTTAAAACATGAGTATTTTCTAGAGAGCTTTACTAGTCCATCATATGACCATGCATACTTATGAAAGAACATGTTTCCCTGCAGTTGTGTTGCAAAATTTTGGTAGTGAACGTGGTTGAAACTTGGAACACTGTTTGTGTCTGTGTCTACCTTCTCTGTCTTTCTTTGACCACCAAACTCTCTCTGCTTTCAGTGTTAGTCTTTTCCCACTGCATGATGAAGTTATGGAGTAAGTAGAGTAGAGTAAGACAGGGGCACATCTGATTTTTTTTTTTTTTTAAATATTTTAGTATCTTGGGAACTGGGTCTCTTAAATCAGGAATAGACTATTTTCTTACTGCGTGCTTTTTATTTCGATAAATTGTGGTGTTTACTAGATTCTGCCAATACCTTGTTTTATGTTCTGGAGTAATAAAAATAGCATGTTTCAGGGAAAAAAGAGATACAGCATAAACCGGTTAAATGCTGTACTGACCTAGAAATAAAACAGGCTCTATTCTTTTCTTGGCCATGTTCAGTAATCTGCACAATATTTTGAATGAGCCACTACATCTTTCTGTTTTTCATTTTCCCCTTTTGAAATAGAGATGGCATCTTTCTCCTGTAAAAGAGATCTGGTGTTGGACACCTGCCATTAATAAACATTCTATAAAGAGCAAAAAGGTGATGTCTTACAGCTGGGTTGATTAGCCAGGAGTTAGTTTTCCTGTTGGTCTAAAGGGCTTAGGTTCTTACCTCTTGGCAGAAGCAGGCACCTCTGGAGGGTGCTTCTGTCCATATCTCTCTCTTCAGTCTTCAACTGGAATCACAGTTTAGGCACTTTAGTTATGCATCTAAACCTAGGTGGGATTCTTCCAGATCACAGATCCCAGATTTGGCTTGCAAACAGTGCTCAACTCTTGTTTTGTTTTGTTTGTCTCTAAACTTTTAAGTTGGTTGTCTGAGAGGAGTTTGCTTTTTTAGGGCATGATCTTCGTAAATATTTCTATGAAAGGATCAGGTGGCTAAGGTGAAATCTTGCGCCTTTGAAATCAAAGCCAGGTTTGAGATTGGCTTCAGTATAGCAAGATTTTATCTGTCTTTTACAGCAAGTGAAAGAGAAAGCTTTTTTTAAAATTTGCTCTTGAATTTGGGACTTCATTATGGCAGGCTGATTTCCAGATTATCTAATCTCATGACTGTGTTTCCTAACCTAAACTGTATTTCATTCTAGATACACTGGAGCACCGTATTTTGCTGCAATTACAGCTCTCAAAGTGGTACGTGTTCTTCTATACCAATCCAAAATGAACTTGTTATCATTTATATTGGCTAAGCGCCATATTTTAAAAGCATTCGTTCTGTGCTGCACATGAAATTTGAGTTCTAAAAGGTCTTTTATTTAACAAAGAAAATCCTTAGTCCTGGATTTGTAAAAATACTTTGTAAATATGTGTCATTTGCAATATTTTCTGTAAATATTTTCTCTTTATAAGGTGAAGTTAGACATACATCAAAAAATTGAAAATTTAAGAGGGATAACTGTTTTATCAGAGACTTGGATAGGAAATTTCAAAACTTGATGAAATATTTTCTCCAAAAGTGAATAATAAAATAATTTTAGATTAGTGTTTAAAGTTAAGTTTCCAGTGCTGCAGTTAGTTCTTCAGAAATTTTTTCTGGACCTGATAAGTGTGTTGAATGAAGTAACTTTCTTTCAAAACTTAAGCTTTAGGCTAGTAAAATTCTCATGTGCTGTAAGTCTAAAGATTGTTGGTTGAATTTAATGTCGTTTTTAATAGCACGTTTTATTTACATTATAACCTTAGCAGAAGTATTTTCTAAGCTTTGTTTCCCTAGAAGTGTGAACTTCCTTACTTTAGTGACATATTAACTGGCTAAAAATGTATTTACTGCAGACTACATAAATACAGTGGTGATTATTCAAATGGAAACAAATCATGCTTACATAATACATGTACTTTTCAGTACTCTATATATAGTGTGTCAGTACTTTCAGTTCATTGTGTATGTTTTTCTTTTTTAAGATTTATTTCAATAAGTAGGTATCCAATCCAGGTATTGCCACCCATCCCTCCTCGAGGATGCAGTCCCTCAAGGATTTAAAACTGAAATTATGTTACTTAATGATCTTACATAAGATATTAAGGCCACTCAGCTTTCTGTTCACTATGTGCAAATGCAGTAGCATACTAGGAGGTCCCCTATTGAAGTACTTGGTCTCAGATCATTACACCTGCACATAAAGGGTCGTAGGATCAAATCTCTGCATTGCTTAGTAGCTTAAAATGTTAAATATATAGTAGTAAAGCAAAGGAGACACTTTCTTAACCTTGGGAAATTTCAGTATGCAAGACAGATAGAAGATCAGGCTTTCTGGTCACTGCTTACATAATTTTTATGTGTATGTCTGATTTTTTGAGTTGATAACGGAAGCTTGAGGCTAAACTCCTCAGCTTTAATGTTTGTGTAACTTAAGAGGTGTTGTTGAAATTGTGCTAGCCTTTACCTGGTACGGATTTGGCCCGTTGAGTAAAAATGGTAGGACTGGAAATGTACTCATAGATTGCCATAGCTGTATTTTGCAAGTATATCACAGTAGTATTTTTCCTCTCTAATGGAGCTTGTCTCTTGTTCAGCTGTGTTCTTTTGCTTTTCTTCTTATTGTATGTGTGACATTTTAGTCTTTGCTCATCTGCAAATGAGAAGCATTTCTCAAGTGAGTAAAGGTTCAAGATCTGTGTTTTCAGTCATCTTATCGATGAGAAGCAGAAAAAAATTATATTGGAAGTTAGATATAAAAAAATTTCTCCAAAACATTGCATGGTTGTCTAAGCCAAAATAGAAAAAATAATGAAGTTTGCTTTAACTACTGAGAAGTAAGAATTCAGGTGAATTATTTCCTGA